CAGCTTTTTCAACCTCCTTCCACCAGTAGGAGGAGCTTCACCTCAGACCCTGGTTTTGAACAGTGACTCCGACCTCCACAGCTCAGAGCACTTCCAGGCCTTCTCAATCAGGGTTCAGAGTGAAAAGTAAGTCCTAGCACCTGCCGTAAGGTATCCCTGGTATGGAATTAATTAAGGTATGTTCGCGGCATCAAAATGACTAGTTTCCTAACATCCTTGAGAAAATAGTTACTACAATCATTTTCAGTTGGACTTAGCTCTATCATGAACTACAGCTGAGAAAGGCTGAAGGTTAAACCCTCAACCCCCCGAAAGTGGGGGTCAGCCTTTGTCCCAACACAAAGCCCTACTTGGCCAGGGCTTTGGGCTCTCTCGGCCCAGGAGGTATTTTCTTCTTTGTGAACCCAGACAGATCTCTTTTCACTCATTCAGTAAATTTTATCTACTTCTTCTATATTTGTGAAGCAAAGAGTGCACCCCAAAAATAAATTAACTGCACTACTTTGCCATGGCATGTGAGGGGACAAGAGCATTGTGACTATTTCCTCCCCACCAGTAAAAAATTCTTCCTCAAAAAAATATGTGAATTTTAGTTTCTCCTATTCCTAGAAAACAATAATTTAATAGTCAACTCTTATACGTAATGTGGAGGGCAAAGGCCCTCAGTTCCAGTGTGTTAGTGCCTCTCCCTTGAAGATACACAGTCCTGCTTCTCTCTCTTTTAAAAAACATGGGATGCTTCACGAATTTGCATGTCATCTTGCGCAAGGGCCATGCTGATCTTCTCTGTATTGTTCCAATTTTAGTATTTGTGCTGCCAAAGTGAGCACTTCTGCTTCTATCTTCCAGGCACTAATTACTCAGCTGGTTAGTACCAACAGTACATTAAATTCATCCAATTCTTATTTGCAACATCACATATGGAATATCAATTGAAATGTTTTCAAAAATTGATGAAACAGGGTAAGCATTCACTCATTCACCTATGTGACTGGAAGAGGTAATATCTGTACCCATTCCAAAGTAAGGTGATCTGAAAGAATACGGAAATTATCGAATAGCAACATTAATGTCAACCATTACCATATAATACTATTAATATCAATATGCAAATACAACTTTGCTGAACACCGTTCGATAATGGTTATAGCAATGTTTTAGTTACAATAGTCAGAGGCTGGCAAGGCTTAAAAGTTTTGAGCCTCCTCCCAATAACAAACACAGTGGCAGGGAGATGCCAGAAAATCAGGCCAATTCAGAAGAGGACATGGAGTAAAGGCAATTATTGTTGATGTCTGATGGATCCTAACTCAGAACAGAGAATATCAGAAAGATTTTTATCTGTGTTTTATTGACTATACAAGGACAATCAACTGGGGGGCTCATAACAAACTATGAGAAGAATCAGAATTCCATAAAACTTAATTTCTGTGATGTTCAAGTGCATTTTTCTTTTCTATTTAATAACTACAATTTGTATGTGCTTCACAAATCATAGTATTTTCATGTTCCTCATAACAAGCCTATGAGAGTAGATATTTATAATATTCGCAATTCTAAAGATGAGGAAACTGAGGCTTTTGGAAGTCAAATAAGTTGCCTTAAGTCGCATAGTGGATGGTAAGGATTGAATTGTATCATCATTCCCCACTGCCAACTCTAACAGCAAATATGTGTTTTCAATCTAACCTCTATGCTTGTGGTTATACAATCACTTTGGGATATGGTATCTTTGTTATGTTAAAGTTGCAGGAGTGTAGGATGTATCTTAAGTCAATCTCTTTTGAGATATAAAAGTGATTAGACAGGAAAACCAAGAATCCAAGACGGGGGTGGGGGGGTGGGGGGGGTGGAGCCCCCGGCAATGCCGCCCAGCTACATGAAGATCGCCCAAGAAAAGAACCTAGAGACGTAAGGGCTTTCCTTCGGAGCCAACAGAGAAAGGCTTTCCCTAGAGCCAGCATGCTGGATTTGGATTTCTAGCCTCTAAGTCGTACAAAAGAAGCACGGATTTGTTAGGACTGTTCATTTGTGCAACGCTAGATAACTAAGACAGTAGGTGAGGGTGAGAATCCTGTGACCCTTCTCTCCTAGAAGCTGTCTCTCCCTCTGCATTTAGAAAAGTAAAAAGGCATAAGGTACGTATGAACACCTGCTGGAAAAGAATCAGATCTATCAATTAACTGAAATTTATTATTTTATACTTTTCATGAACTTTTTAAAGCCCTCTTGTGTCTTTTACGTGTTTAAATGTACGTACACTTTATGACCCAGTTATCTCATTCCTAGAAATCCTTCCTACAATGCGCTGCAGCTCAATTTGTAATGCTGAAAAGATTCCTTAATTATTTGTAATTTTGAAACTCTCTAAATTAATCTGTAAAACCACCGTAATCTCAGTCAAAATCCCTTTAGGTTTATTTTGTTGCTGTAAATGTCTGTGTTTCATTTCGAGTTTATTTTGTGGAGCCTGGGGATTTGATTCTAAAATGTATATGGAACTATCAAGACATTAAAGAAGAACAAGGTAGAAGGATCTGCTCTACTGAAAACAAGATTTTTAATAGACAGCTATATTTTTAAGACAGTGTGGTGTTAAAGACAAAGCAAACCAAGGAATAGAAAAGTGTCCAGAAACAGTTCATTCAAATATGAACACTTAATTTCTGGAAAGGTAACACACTGGAGGAGTATGGAAAGAACAGGTTACCTGTACATGACTCGGGGAGCTAAGGGGTGGGTGGTGGATGAAACTTAATGTCCACTTGAAAAATAATTTCCAAGTACATATTTAAATATAAAAAGCAAACAAGATAATACAGAAAAGTATTCTCAGGGTAGTAAAAGAATTTTCACAAGAAACAAAAAACACTAGCCATAAAATAAAATATTTTTTGTGATAAGAGTCGTATGAGGCCCTAATAAAATGATTAAAAATTTTAAAAAATAAAATATTTTATAAATTTTTTATAAATTGGAGTACATTAAAATTAAGAACTTCTTTTCATCAAGGGTCACCATTAAGAATATAAAAAGGCAAGTCACAGAGTTGAAAAGTGCTGCCAAATATATATCCAATAAAGAATGCATTACAGCTTCTGCTTCTCAAGCTGCTCCTTGGAGGCCGAGCATCGATTTCTTGTGGCCTAAGGACCCCACGTGCGAGATTGAAGTGCCCTGAGGGCGCCTGTGGAAAACCAGAAACTTCTATCCTTTATAAAACCCACTTGGATCACAATCCAGGCTTCGGAGTGAATTCTTTCTCCCGAGAAGCCAAGGTCCGAGGTATATTTCTCCAACGAGAGATCTAACGTAACCAGTAATATTGTCACACTGTACAAATTAATAATTTCCTAAAGCCATCTAGAAGGAGATCTGGTAGTGCTGTCTGGTAACACTGGACTGCTAACCTCAAGGTTAAAGTCTTGGGGACCTTGAGCAGTAGGCTAATGACATCTAATAACCAGTCTATAGTCAAAGTTTCCCAGTGGTAAAGAGATGGTGCCAAGTGAATTGTAGATATTTCTTTGAATATTTTACATTTGGCTGATTGTTTTCTCCAGGTCCATTTAACTAACTTCCCATCCCCTTATTTTCCAAAGACTAGAACCTACTTGGACTTGATGGCACCTAAAAATAGCAACAACAGACACTCGTGGTGGCAACAATAGACTCAAGCTGAAGAGCAGCTATGAGCGCGAACAGCACCAGGCAGCGTTGCTTTCTGTTGTGCACAGGGTCAGGACCACACCTACCAACAGAAGAAGACAAATCTCAACCTTGATTAGATTCATATTTGTGGGAAACAGAACTAGAAAGAGAGTGTAGGTGGACACATTCTCTACACTCCTATTTATTTTAAGGCGTCTGAGAGACAGATTCTTGGGGAGGAAGGCCTTCACGCTCTGACTGGAGATGTATCCTCCCAGTCACATTCTCCTAAGTAAATGTTATTCCCCGTGGTGGCCTACTATACACTTGAAGGTTATCTGCCTGCAGGCTGTCTGCCATCAAGAGCACTCAGACCACCCACCCTGAGTACAGCCCACTCCCTTCTGATAATGATCATAGATTGCTTCCTTGGAGAAGAGCTCAGGGATACTTCGGGTCAAGGCAGCTCAGAGAAGGCCAAGGTTAGGCCAAAATTTTAGCTATGAAACTCGCCCAGCTTGTTATGTACCTTCCTGTCGAGTGTATATACCTAGTTAGTCCCCTTCCTGTTACCTACAGGGGGCTTGGGGGGAGGGTAGTTGGCACCCAATGGCAGCCCCTCTGGCCTCAGTGAAATGTGTTATAAAAGCAGGTTTGCTGGAACTTCATTTTTTTTGTGATAGCCAATTTAAGAGAACAGTGTGTGGCTGTGAAATTCTGTTTCCTGTTTGGGGGAAAATGCCCCACAAACGGTTGTGATGTTGAACACAGCTCACAAGGACAGTGCTTTGGGAAAACTCAAGTGTACAAGTGGTTTTCTCATTTCAAAAAAGGTGAAATGTCCATGGGTGACAAGCCTTTTTCTGGATGTCCATCAACTTCCCGAACAGACAAAAATATCCACTCATAGTGCATTTGGAGTTCCTCCCATCATGTCAGACTGTTAAACAAACATCTATTTCAAGGTTGTAAAGAGATTGTATAGCAGTGTGAGGCAAAAAAGGCAGAAGGGGGACTGGTTTTGCCATCATGACAATGCACCTGCTCACACAGCCATCTCAGTGCACCAGTTTTTTGGGAAAAAACAGCATGCCTCTCTTGCCCCATGTACCTGACTCACTTGACCTTGCTCTGTGACTTTTGTTTCTGTGGATGCAGAGGGACACGAAAGAACAGCGATTTGAAGACATAGAAGATGTGAAGAAAAAACGAAGGAGATGCTGTCAATAAAGACATCCAAACAGAAGTTTGAAAAATTTTTCCAAGAATGGAATTGCAGATTTGACAAATGTATTAA